TTTAAATGTACTGCAGCAATAAAGGAATAGGATTTAACCAGATATGGTCTACTAAAAAAAATTACTAATTAGGTAATTTTTAAAATACTTAAACCCAATTCCCTGGCATTTTAAATTCCACCTCCTTCCAAATTCTTTAGTTCAGGGTTACCACACTATACTTTATTATTTAAATGTCCCCCTGTATGTGTGTGTGTACATTCACACACACAAACACACATTCATGCACAAGATAAATCTATCTAATCATCTCATGAAACAATATGCCTTCTCCACTTACAAATTAGCATCTTTGGGATATGAATACTACATTTAGTCCAGGCAAGTCCCCCATCTCTTTCTCTAGCATAAAATAACCTGTCAGTAGTACATTGAAGGAGATGTAAAATCTTCTTAACAAGTTTCTTGAATACAACATCCAAATCATCTAAAACATAAAAAGGAGGCTTGATCAAAAGCAAATTATAAAACAGCCCAGGTTTATAGTCCCTAAAATCATCAGTTTTGGGGCAGATTTCAAAGTCGCTTCACATAATCTATCACACCATTCAGTCAATTTCCCCTTTACCAATACGCCACTCACCCCTGTCCAAGGATCTATCTTTGCATACAATATTTTTCAGCCTGCCTTGGTTGCACATAGTCTTCTCTTTACCCAATTTCCAATTATGTTTAGGATTAACCACAAATCTTACATTTAGCCATTATGTGAAATCCCTTTGTTTACCTAACATTTACCTTCAAACTAGTATTCTTGCAGATAACAGTCTAAAATCTCAAGGTTTCTTATCATCCCTTGATACATTCCACTTGAAATAGCCACATCATCAACAAAAGCCAAAGCCATAATTCTTTTCCCTTGAATACTGAAGCCTAATTTCTCTTAACCAGCAAAGGTCAATGGCTATATTAAATAATATTGGAGATAAGGTGTCTCCTTGCTTTTCCCCAAAACTTATGTTAATGCACTCAGTGCATTTACCATCCACTCACACCCCAGTGATTGAATTTCTATAAAGATCCCTAGCAATATCTATAAATCCCTCATTAATCCCAATTTTTTTAAGGCCTGTGTGATGGGGAGTACTGGCCCAGAAAGAGTTAACCAGGCCTGCTTGGCTGAGAAGGCCCCTCCCCCACATCTCTGCTGGGCATGCTTCAACTGCAGGCCTAGTATAAAAGCTGGGGAGCAGCTCACTCAGGGCTGACCATGGAAGGAGAAAGACCTCCTGCCCAAACACAGGAGCAGCCACAGCAGCAATAGCTGCCGCTGCCGCCGCTGCTGCCGCTTCCTCCGCTGCAGCCACAAGTGGAAACCAGGGAGAGCAACTAATCTGGAGGATGCAGGTTGGGAAGGCGCCAGCCAGAGGACAGGGTAGGAAGTAGCCCAGGGCAGGGAGCTGGAGGCCTCCTAGTGAGCTCAGGAGATTATGAGGTGAGGCCACACAGAGAGGGCTCAAGAGACTCACCACCCCGTGGGCTTCCCAGCCTGTGACAGCCTGCCACAATGGCTATGTCTAGACTGGCATGAATTTTCGAAAATGCTTTTAACAGAAAAGTTTTCTGTTAAAAGCATTTTCGGAAAAGCACATTTAGATTGGCAGGATGCTTTTCCACAAAAGCACTTTTTGTGGAAAAGCGTCTGTGGCCAATCTAGACGCAGTTTTCCGCAGTTTCCCGATCTCCATTTTCGCAATTGGGGCTTTTTTGCGGAAAACAGTACTATGCTGTCTACGCTGGCCCTTTTGGGCAAAAGTCTTTCAGAAAAAGACTTTTGCCCAAACAGGAGCAGCATAGTTTTTCCGGAAAATCACTGATAATCTTACATGAGATCGTCAGTGCTTTTCCGGAAATTCAAATGGCCAGTGTAGACAGTTGGCAAGTTTTTCGGCAAAATCAGATGATTTTGCGGAAAAACTTGCCAGTCTAGACACAGCCCTCATGTTCATATCCAACTGAGTCAAATGCTTTGGCCAAATCTACAAAAACAATAACTAACTCCTGTACATTTTGCTTAATCTCTTTAATTAAATTAACTAAAATTGCTATATTTTCCTCATAACCTATAGCTGAAGTAAAACCTTTTTGCCCACTAGAAATCTTAATCATAGACATCAATCTTCTTGCTAAAATTTTTGCATATAGCCTCACCCAAACAGAACCAATTGTTAATGGCCTCCAGGAGGATAATTTAGCTAATTTCTCATGCTTCTGTACCCATGGGATTAAAATAGTCCTATTTTCTTTAAAACTGGATGAAATCTGTTCAGTTAAAAGCATATATTTAAAATGTTATTAAGTTCATGAGAGTCCAAATTCAACATTTCCCATAGCTCCTTAACAGTAACCTTATCCTGGCCTGGGGCATTATCTTTTCAATTTTCTCTTAATACATCCCTCACCTCCTCCATCAAGATTGGATTCAGTAATATACCATTATCCACCACCTGGGTGGCCGGAGGCCATCCTATCGTATTTCCATGTCCAACCTTCTCTAATGTCTCTGTATAATACCCTTCAATCTCATTCAGAGAAATACTACACCTAGCTCTGTCCGACTCTCCCATAATAATATGTGCATCCACTTTATTATCTGCAAACAGCTCTAGGACTTTGAGTATAATGGCCAAGGAAAACTGGGAACCTGGATATTTTATACAGCTATTTGCATACATACATATTAGCATTTTTTGCATTAAATAGCAGTGAAATGCACTGTCTTATCCCAAAGCCTACCTTGGTTGAAATCTCCTGGCTTCTTGGCTTCTGAAAGCCATATTCTGAGTGTAGTCATTAGTGGATATTCCTGCTTCCCTGGGACATTCTGATATTCCTGGCAATACATTCTCCATCTCCTGCAGAAAGAGAGCACCCTCTCATCAATGGCCAAGATGTGAATATTTTTGCTTTAAAAAAAAAAAGTTGTAAGAAACAAAGGTGGTTGGGGATAGAGAATGCTCTGTCCTGGTTTTTTCTGTTATTCTCTTGGGCTACGTCTACACTGCAGGCTTCTTGCGCAAGAACAGCTGTTCTTGCACAAAAACTTGCAGAATGTCTACACTGCACATGAGTTCTTGCACAAGTAAATTTACAGTACAGCGCTGGAACAGAATACAGTTTATTCCTCCCCATGAGGAATAAGCCCTTTTGCGCAAGAGCTCTTGCTCAAGAAAGCAGTGTGGACGGGCAACAGGGGTTTCGTGTGCAAAAAACCCCTATAGCTAAACTGGCCATCAGAGCTTTCTTGCGCAAGAGTGCATCCGCACTGCCATGGATGCTTCTGTGCAAAACTACATAGCAGTGTGGACACGCTCTTGCACAAAAACCTTTTGCACAAGAATTCTTGTGCAAAACAGTTCTTGAGCAAGAAGCCTGCAGAGTTAGATGTAGCCTTGATGTATAAAGAAGGTAATAACAAATGGATAGCAAAATAACTATAAAAAGTTCCAAAGCATCACCATTCTTCATTGTACAATATTGTCTAAAAGCAGATTGCATAAAAAAAGACACCAATGAGCCTCCTGTTTTTAGTAATTATTTAGACAACAGACATCAAAATGTCCTAAAGGGTCCTACGCTTACTGCTCAGTATGTTTATCTAACTATAATTAGTTGCATTTCATTCAAGACCGTTAAATTACAAGAAAGATTTCTATTATGGGCATGAAAACTCTGACTCACAAAAGTAACCTCAATTCTCATGAGTAATGGTCTGTAAGATCAGCCTCCAAATCTCTAACTGATTTTTCCAGCCATTCTAACATAATTATTCCTTTACTAGTAAAACTTACTTTAGAGTGAGGGAAGGCGAATGGAAGGAATCTGTTGATTCAATTACTTTGTTGTGTGGATGGGTGGAAAGCCAGTTTGGATTCATGAATGGAATCCAGTTCTGGAAATTAGGAAGGCTTTAGTTTTAGAGCAAACTGTCAATAACTAGATTTGTGGACTTGAATGAATCACTCAACCAATCTCTGTCTCAATTGTATTATCTATAAAATGGGGTAAAAATCCCTATCACACAGAGGTGTTATAAAAATTACTTAAGTTGATACAGTGTTCTGAAAATGTAAAAAAGCCAATCAATTTTCTTTCCCATTATTATTTGTTTAATTATTAATGATTATGCCTGTAATTTACAGATCTGAAAATCAGTGTACTTGGTGCAGCAACATGTTTGTTTCCACTGGTAAAATATTTAATTTTGCTGCAGTTCTAGGGCCCAGCCCTAGAAATCCACAGAATGACTTCAGTGAGGCTATGTCTACACTACAGGGGTTTTGCAAAAAAACCTGTGGAACGTCCACACCTCAAGCACGTTTTTGCACAAGTAAACTTACACTAAAACAAAAGAACAGAGGGGTTTTTGCAGTGTAGGTATTCCTCTTTCTACGAGGCATAGCTCTTTTTTATGCAAGAGCTCTTGCACAAAAAGGTGTGTGTGGACGGGCAACGGGGTGGGTGGGGGTAGCGCAAAAAGAGTCATCCAAAAAAGCACAAGTGCTCTGTTAGCTATTCTGTGAATAACAATCAGAGCTACCAAAAAAGCACAGGTGCTCTGGTAGCTA